GGGTTTGGGTGATTTGTCGGTCAATCTGCACGTTAGTGTGTTATAGGTCTTCGGGTGGATGCCAAGGATGCACGCTTGACTTGCTGACTTAGTAGCTCTTCCTGGAGTCCCTGATTAGTCAGATCAGTCTTTCTAGCCGATTCTAGCCCTGTCCTAAACTATTCTAGTAGACACTGTCTCAATCCCAGGCCCAGCCTATCTTTTGTGGGCTTAGGGTTTAGGCTTTGCAAAATGGACACGCCCAGGTCCTCAGCTCCTACACCCTCAAACTGTCAACCCCAACTAAGAGCTGATCCTCGTCTGTAGACCCCAGATACGAGCACCCTCTAACAGTCCAATCTACTTATGTTAAAGCTTGTGCCAGGATGCCTGGGTTTCGCCTCTGAGCACAGGCGGACGGGCATGAAACAAGCATCGTCGGCTGTGGTGTTGGCGGTAGTTGTCTGTTTAGGACACCCTCGGTTCAGAATCTTGATCCGAAAACGGCCAGCCTTGACCAGGCTTTGCCGCCTCTGCCGGGCGAGCAGCCGTCGGCCCTCAATCAGGCCAACACCCGAGATTCACTTCGGTCGGGGATTTGGGTTGTAAGGTTGTGGGGCGTAGGGTCCCAACCACCACTACCACCATAACCACTAATGCAACGGCGACGACAGCATGGGGAGCACCAGCAGCAGCAACACCAGCAACAGCAACAGCCGCAGCAACAACACCAACAGCAGCAACACCAGCAGCTACGATTACGACGACGAGTCTTGACAGTACGACTATTTATTGCTTGCTGGTGATTATTACCCTGTTCATTCTAGTGGAAGCGTTGTGTTGTTAGCTTATCAGTTTTTGTGTTTACCTTCAAAGCTTTGAGTCATGTTGTCGACCAAGGCCGGTGCAATCGCTGTGCACGTTCCCAAGATATGATGATGCCAGGATGGAATCCCCATAAACTCCCCATTTGCAGGTGTCGCTCTTAGCGCCGTGGGAGCAGAGGTCCTGGTGAGAGAGGAGGAAACATCTTTCGAAAGGACTGTGCCAGAACTGCAGCTTTCAGAGGTTAGGGTTTAAACAGGGACGAGGGCAGTGGTGTTGAATCTCTCACGGAAGGTTGCAAGTCTTAGGTTGGGGAGTTTGGGGATTTCAGCTTCCGATTCATGGCATTGGGCATAGGCTTTGACAAGTTTTGGGGTTGAGCGGGTTTATTGTTTCAGGCTGGCTGACGGGCCTGCACTGCCAAACAACAGTTCGCGACACTGCACCTCCAGATTCCGAGATCGCGAACCTTTAGCCATGCCGCTGAAGCTAAACAATTCTATGCCACGTTCCTACAAACTGTTATGTTTTGATCCAGGGTATGATTCTGTGAGAGAGTAGATTCCGTTTATACTCTTTCACATTAGCGTGAAGCTGTCCCGGAGACAAAAGAACCCCCTACCAACCCCGGCTGGCAGAAAATGTTCCTTCAATGGGTAAGGAAAATCGTCAGCTGCTCACCCGGCGCAGAACCTCGAAGACAAAACATTGAAGAAGCTGAACCGCAATGAACAGCAAGCCACTTCACCGTGCGAGGAGAGAGGTGCAAGCTCCCGTAACCTCGCCAGTAGAATTTCAAGAGGAAGGCCCGGCTCCGGTTTGCGAGGACCGGGTAAAACAGGGGCCTTAGTTAGAATTGGACTTTGAGGGCTCCTTATTACAATTATAGTACTTGTAGTATGGTATATACCCCCAAACCCTACTCTAACTTCTGGGCTCCTACATTACACAACTCGCTTCAGCTTTTGCTGCTGCACTATGGGGTGGTTGATCGTTTCGGTCATCTCGCTGAAGTCTAAGGCTACCGATGCTTCCTTGTTTCATTTTTGCTCCCGTCCGGGCTCACGTCTTCGAAACCTATACACAAGGGAGGCCTTGGATATTATTCCATGTTCTCTTTCCTTGTCGCCAGAATGCTCACAGCTCTCTCACGATGAGGACCCAGAGTCCTGTTCGTTTCTCGAACCTACCCAGGCGTGAGAAACTAAGCTAAGACGTAGCTCGCCTGTTCGTATCCTTTGTATTGCCGACAGGCTGACTCAGGATGTCTCACCATGCACTCTGGGAGTTCTCGAACAGTTGAGCATCTTGTAGGATATCCTTGCATGCACAATCGCACAGCATAGCATTCCTGGCCCATAGTTTTGCCACTTGTTTCTGACATCGTCACAAGCACGTCAAACCGTTCCGGCGGCCGGAGTGTGATGGCCTGAAATCCCGGAGGCCAGAAGCAGAACGAGTTCAAGTGGAACTTGCTCGTGTCGCGTGAAGCAATCGGAGCATGGGAGAGGGATTTCGGACAAAACTCGAGTGCATAAACAGAGCACAGTACAGAATGAGAAAAGGAGAGCGCTGGGTATAGCTCCACAAGTTCCCGATGTTGACTTTCTGATCGGACGCCACAATTCAGAAGTCCATCAACGGATTCCTTATCAGCTGTTGCAGGGGTTGCAACTCTACAACATTTGTATTTCACTAGTGCATAGGCCAATGCGCCGATGCAGGACTCCATCCATTCCATAATAATTATAGCCGAAGCCCAGCTTAGGCTGCAAGCTCCGCAGACTTCATGAATCAACAGGCAGTTCCCTTGAAAACTCCGACCACACACACGTAGTGGCCTCGCATGCTTCGGGCTTTTTATGGAAGCACTGAACCCCAAGTCGGTGCTTGGATTGCTTGCAAGAGCGGCGAAAGCCCGGACATGATTTGTCGACGCCCACGTCCCGACATTTAATTTGGCGTGTGGGAACGGGAGCTTCACCAGGTGTCGGCGTCATTCCGGCAATAATTGTGTGGGGACGGGACGTGGCACCAGGTGCCGCTTTGCACCGATTCTGAAAACGAGTCACCAGGTCCCCGGCGCCAGCGAAAGCCGCGGAACCACAAAACTTGCCAAAGGACTGCAACAGTGCCCCAGCCTGGAACATGCAGGATTTGTGCTTACACATGGTCGGACGGCCCAGCCCGCAAATGTTCACCATCTACCCAAACCATGCACACCTTTAAATCCGAGAATCCCAATCCCGACTCCTTTCCGCACTTTGTCATTCTTGACTCAGGTTTGCTCTTTTCCTGGCCTATGCTCTTTGCGACTTGGACAAGGCGCCTCCGTGTCGCAGACACGGTCATGGATGTTAGGGTTAGGGTAGTTCAGGGGTTCAGGCAAACCTATCCTCTGCAAATATAGACACTGGCAGCACTGTTCCATTGCAATTGCGAGTTTGAAGATACTGCGGGGGTGAATTTTTAAAGGTTGGTGCTTTCGGAATTGGAGCAATCCATGGCCTGCGTTCACGGGGAAATTGGTTTCGACCAGACGGCGTCTATTGGCCTGTCTCGGCACCTCCCCGTACTGGCCTGTCCCGCAACCTCCCTCTTCTGGCCTGTCTCGGAACCTCCTCCACATTAATATTTTGAGGTCCATGCAAGCGATCAGGTTGCGGTCAGTATCTGAGCTCACCTTCTAATCCAAACTCAAAAACGAACCGCGCCCCTTTGTACCCAGGTGAACTTGTCGGTGGCCATCCTGCCGATTCAAGACCGGTTTGGGCTGTCCGAGGTGAGGCGACAAGACAAGACATGCAGCTCCTGAGCCTCAATTGTCAATAAAGGAGGCTCAGTATCTAGTCAGTAGAAACGCTACATACAGCTATAAGACGTATCGCACAAACCCAACCTAGGTTGTTCCCCCAAAGCACTCGGCCAAAATAAGTACACGGCATGGTGGATTGCACCACTCTTACTGAGCAAATCCTGCAAAGAGCTGCACTGGAGACCAACCATGCGAAAGGAGCTGAACACGCTGGTCTGCAGAAGATGCCCTCTTGTGAGTCTGTGGCATCCGCTTGCATGTGGTCTCGATAACGTACCATGCTCAGGGTCAAGGCCCACAGCTCCACCATAGTCGTGCTGACCCTTTTGAGTGAAGGGGGCTGTCACAGGTTCACCATCTTGCCGGGACTCATTCATGTATTTGGCATGGCTTCGTCACTGACATGATCGCAAAGTCTGTCGTGCCCATACGCAAGAGCGCGGAGTCATGAAGTGATCGTACTCGTCACCATCATCATCACACGCATCATCATCATCGTCACCACGACCATACTGGCAGTCGTCATCGCTGCGAACCAGCTGCGCTGACTTGATATGTACTTAGTACAGGCGGTAGTTGGTGAGCTACCCGAAGAAGTGCGGCGCAAGGCATATTACCAAGGCGGAACTCTGCTGAGAAGTCGGCAACAGGTACGCAAAAACCTACTTGCCAACATGTGTGATGCATCGGTGCAGGCTGATGTGGGCACGGCCTCAAGCTCCTTCTTTTGGGGCAACTTGGACAGCACCATCTGCTGTCCTGGGTGGTGGTGTGAAACTGTGCAGGGCCGAATGCTGAAGTTTGAGATTGAAGGCCAGCAGCCTAGACTCCGAGTCCCATATCTTGAACCCCGACACTTTCTCATATGCATGCCACCCCTTCTGCAAATAGCCGCAGCTGCACAAGGTGTTGCAAGTCGTTGTCTTTGGGATGCTTTCGCCGACACCCCGGAGTTCAAGCTCGTAGATGGAACTTACCTGGACCCTTCCACCTCTCACTTGCAGACTTTCTGTAAGCTCTTAAAGGGAAGTCGGCAAAGATACCAGCACCAACGGTCCCCGAAGCTGCCCTTAAATCCAGTGTTTTCATCATCCGAAGCCCATTTTTCTTGCACGGCACACCATTTTCTCAACCCCTGTGCCCTTGCGCTTCAACCACCTGACCGCGCAGGATGTTTAAAGAGAATGTCCGAAAGGTTATGCAGCAAGTTTTGACGGTAATGCAAGACAGGATGCCCGGAGCGGCACCTACTTTCCTTTCCACATACATCTCTATGACAGCAACTTCCGTATGCATTTCCTAGACTTCTTCTAGATCCTGGACCACGCCACGTCCTGTCCCTTTGCACTTTGCGGGCGCTCTGCCTGCTGTCGCAGGCTACATGCTCACGCAGCTCCCGGGGGCCATGTTGATTCAGCGACTGCAACTCGACTGCGGCATTGGGATGTGGGCTTGCAAGTTCAGAGCTGCAGGGCTTTCGGGTGGGTCTTAGAAGGGTTCGGCTCCGGGTTTGAAGGATTAAGGTGGCTAATGTGCGCAACTTTCTAGGCCCTAAAAACTACGTTCCTGAACCCTTAACCGCCATGGCAAGCCGTAAAAAGACCAGAGAAACAACAAGGGTGTAAGAAAAGTGCAAAGGTATTGTTCCGGTTCGAAGAAGGCTTGCAGGCTTCTGCTGTTGGGTTTCGAGAAGTTGTTTTTGTTGTTGGAGGTGTTCCAGAAGGAGCTGCATTATCCAGATGCACGCTTCACAACGGGTGGTTTAGCATCCTAAACCGGCACGGCTGCCTAAGTCTCCAGTCGGACCTCTTATTCAGGGCTTGATGGCTGTGGCATCGGATGTTGACTGGCTTGAGGTTGTGTATCGTCTTTCCTGTCGAGCAGGTGCTCTATTTCATTTTGCAGCGTTCTTAAGCATCGTGATGTTCTTCGTTCTGGCAAGGTGTTTTCAAGCCTTCCGGGAGTTTCGGCATTGAAGCGGGCTGGATGCAGGCAGCCCCGAAGGTTGAGAGTCCATTTTGGACCCCGTTCTTTCTTGGCAAGCGTCGGCTATAAGCCGAACCCCTTAGCGCTCAGAGCCGGTATGCCTTGACATGTGAGGCCCGGAGGTGCAGCCACGGTGCTTGGCATTGGCGTGTTCATCCAGAGTGTGGGAACAACGTGTGTCACGGTAGCACATCCGTGACTTGCGGTTGAATTTCTTTCTACAGGGCAAGGAACATCCTTGCGAATGCTCCACACAACTCCACGATGCAAGAGTCGGTGTTCCCAAACAAGCTTTTTTTGTTGTTTTTAAGAAGGGGTGGCTTGGCTAGGCGGTGGACCACCAAGAGCAGCTTAAGTTGAAAGTTCCCTCCATTTTCTGTGCGTCCCCTGGCCGTACTGCAGCAATCAGTGTTTGCATTTCCTAATTTCTGGTGAAGGATTTGTTTGCAGGCAGGGTGTAAATTGAGCACTGACTGGGTGACATCCTCTCTGATCTAGATGGCCAGGAAGGAGCAAACACCTAGGGTTTAGGGTTTAGGGTATTTTGTTGCGACCCTGGAGCCCCTGGGAAAAAGCTTACTTCGGACTTCAGCTCTTCAGTCCAAGAGTGGGGAAGCCAGAAAGCGCTGGCCTTATGAACTCCCAAGCCGTAGAAGCTCACCTTCGAATCCCAAGTCGAGTCGGAAGTCTGAAAACTTAAAGTACAAGGCTGGATGATGCGCCGTTACCGGGACTCGAAGGGCGGACATCGATGTCGTCCGAGGGTCCGGTGTGTATAGGCGCCTTACGGCCTTAGAGAGAACTCAGGCACCGCAGCCTTGGATTATGTCGCCGACTCGAAGGCAGGGAGCTGATGCGCTGCGAGAAGGCCCCACTTTCTTTCGCCCCCGTAGGTTTGGGGCTTTGAACTCCAAACCTCATAACATGGACAAATTGCCGAACCCTCATGCGACCACTGAAAGAGGCACTTACACAGTAACACCAAGAAGAAAATTACCGATCACTACCCAAAAGCGAAGACTACACGACTAGAAACACCCTGCCAGCCGCCATCGTCTAGGTGGCTCTTGGCATCCTCTGTGCTAGCCGTGCACTGGTCGGACTCGGAGAAGGCTGTTCGGAGTGCGAGCCTTTTAGCTCATTGTTTGCGCTCGTTGCACGAGCCATCGTTGCAATGTCCAACCTGCTTACATGGTTTGCCATGCCTGGCACAAACGGTTGTTAGTTGTGAGAGATCCTGGTTCTTCCTCGTTAGTTAAGCGCTCATGGCGTCAACTGGCCTTGAGTGCCGTGTCCATGTCAGTCCATGTTAGCCTTTAGACTACGTAACATTGTGTCTGGCTCAGCATCCTTGTTAAAAGTTACAAGCGAATTTGCTCGGAAGCTTCAGGGTCTTGGGTCTGAAGAGTTTTGGAATTTAGGACCAAGTCTTAAGGTTGTTTGCAGTCCGGGGGCCCGAGTAGTAGAAGGGTGGAGAGTTGACTGATCTCTTCATGGCGTCTTCATTGTGCCCTAAACTACCTGATCGTACCCAGAATCTGCGACGCATATGCATGATTCACGATGAAGACGGCCAGTGTGGTGATGGTGACGACTGTGATGGTGATGGGGATGTTACGTAGGATGTTGGCCAATGGTCTTATCTTGTCCGGACGATGCCAATAATGAGATAAGCTATAGTCATGATGGCGACCTTGACGAAGACAACGGTTTGAGCCTCAAGTGGCAGTTGCTTGCAGGTGCTCTGGACCCCATAAGACGACAAAGTGGTACAAGTACTTCGAAGAGCAACACTTATAGTAATCGCGACGATAATTTCTGGTATCTGATCGCCACTTTCGCCATGGAATCGGTGATGGGGGTGTGAAGCTCACGCTGTCGTCGGGACGACGAACAGTCACAATCTCTGCGATCGTGAAGGGCGACAGTCGCAAAACAGTCGCTTCTTCTGCCAGATTTTCAGCTTCCAAACCCCCTTCCTCGATAAGTTTCCGAATGTTGCTGCAACCTAGACTCGAAGCCCTAACAGGAGGTCCAACAGCGACTCCTGCGACCGATTTCTCCTAGCTCATGAAAGCATCGCTGCTAACACTGGAGCCTCAACAAGGCTTCCAGAAATCTAAACAAGGCCTAAACCCCCAAACCCGCAGACAAGATACCAAAGATGCGCCCTACAAGCCGTGCTAAAGACACTCTTTAAATGAAAGGCCTGGGCGTCCCAGCCATCGGTGCCTCCCTCGGCCGACTGCCGGACGAACGGCGCTCCTCTGGAACCTCCGTGGCGACCGGGCGGAAACCACGATTTGAGGCTCAGGGTCGTTTGGATCTCCGAACCCCTGGAGAGATGGATTGATACTTTCCACTGCAGGACTACTAAGGGTTGCCTTGAGTGTTTCCTCGCAGGTAGTCAAACAACAGTTTCGGCAGTAGTTCCGTCCTGGAGACCCCACAAGCCACGTGCTTGTCTTGCAGAAGCAGCAGTGCGACCCGCTGAGCACAGTCAAGAAACAGCAAGCCTAGGTATTCGTACACGAATTGCCCGGAGCACTGAAGTGCCTGTTTGGTACCAGGGTCTGAACAGCTAGAGGCGTAGCTGCCCTATCATTCCTGCACTTCACCAGACACCCCGAACTTGCAAACTGCCCGAACCGGCCAAAAGCCCATGAATCCTCAACCTCAATCCTTGGAACACGAAACATTGCGCTGCGCTCCGAGGCCCTCCCTTGTTTCCGAAGCACTTGTGAACGTTTAGTGTTTCGGAGAAGCCGGGTGCGAAACCGTGACAGCCAGCCCTGAACCCTCTTCAGAGTCTCAAGAATCTTAACCCCGAGCCGTGAAAACTAAACTCAAGATCGATCTACCACGATGCTCGCTGAGGTGTTCGCTGGATCCACCACAGGCAGGTTCCCGAAGAATCTCTGGCGTAGGAATCCTGAGAACTCGATACCTGCGCTAATGTTTTTCTGCGAAGAAGCTCGAGACTGGTCCTGAGTCCAAGGCCGAGACCCGTAGGCTATGACATGAGGCTCTGACAGTGTCTGAATTCGGTGGACACCGACAAAGCTTTGGCAAGGATACATTCGCGTGATGCTCTGAGTCTGTGACCCCACGAGTCTGGGGCCCCATCCTCTTGCAATCCACGCCCCGCCCAAACAAGCAGCCCCGAAGGAAGTTCGTCGTTTTGCTGTGCTAGGGTGCTCCTTGCGGTATCTGGAACTGGAGTAGAAACCCATCAGCTGGAATCTGTTGGTCTACCATGGTCCTGACGGCTTGCTCAAGTCCTGCTCATTTTTAGCAACTTCAACCTACAGGGGCCTTCAACAAGTAGGGCATCATCAGCCTTGCCATATCCCCATGTGCTTGCTGTAGAAGACAGCCCTGACACGCACGCAGCAGAGGCAGTGCTGGCGCCCCAAGACGAACTGATAAATTGAGGTTACAAAGCCTTGATGAGCATCTACATACATCGTAAGGGATCAAATTCAACGCCGTACGCCCGCAACCGCCGAAACCAGGCGTTGGGCTAGGTCTTCTGGCCTGTCCCTTCCTGATTGAGCCACCTGCAGAGCAAGTCAGGGTTCGGGCTGTGTGGCTGGGGCATTAACATGTGGTGTGTGGTGAGTGTTCAGTGCAGATGGAGGTTTTGGCTTTTGAGGGTCGGGGTTTTAGGGGTCTGGATATAGGCCTTATGGCTTGGTATCGAACGTTCAGGATTGTAATTTCTGCGCTTATTCAGCATCCATGTCATAAGCCTGATTGCTTGTTCCGGGTCACAAAGTTCTGTTAAGGTGCCCACAACATGGCACTCAAAACAGGCCCGAAAAAGCAGAATTTTCATAAACCCTGAGCCATGAGCCATTAATCGTGAACGGAACCACACGGGGTTTCGACAACTCTCGGAAAAGGGCTTCTCGTCGCATGGTGGTTGACACAGCTCTCGGGTTGGCTAACATGGCTGCTGGCCTCGGTTTTGGATGTCACAGGGCTGTCAAATTGGGTTCAGGGCAGGGCGGAGGCTGTTCAATCCTGGCTCCCCCCTGTGTGCCTTGTAGCATGCTTGAAGGTGCTTGCTGACAGGAAAGTGACAATTTCGGCTGCACTAAGTAGACCTGCTCGGATTCTTGTGGGCACAGGCTCCTCAAATACTCATGCGTTTTTGGCAGGCATTCCGAAACGGACCCTGGGCCCAAAGAGAAGGTCCAGATGCCTTATTCCTGAATCCTACCTCAGCAGCCTACGTTAGACGATGCACAAGCTCCACAACCGCAAACATGAACACGCCCTGAAGCCTCATCCTCTAACGTTAATCCCAAAGCAAGGCCCCAGCCAATCTCGCCTCTAACGTTCCGTGGTTGGCAAAACGAGGCAGTTTGGTTGGCCCTTCGTGTTCTGGGCCTTCGCCAGCGCAGGATGCCGGCAGTATCTTGTGACGGGTTGATGCTTCCCTAAAACCCCCAAACTAGGTAAAATATATAATGGCCCAATACCCATAAAAGGCCATTATTTTACATACTTTCGGGGTTTAGGGTTTAGGGAAGTCCAAGTCGAAGCGTTACTGTTACTGTCACCTGTGACCTTCGCGTGCTTCGTTGCTGCAATCGACGTCACGGGGATCCCAGGACTCGAATACATTCTGCAGAAGATGCCAGTACTACTTGCATCCGCAACGGCACAAGCTCCCACTTCTTAGCTTCAACCCTCGAAAGCTGAACCGTGCCTTGTGATCAAACGCTTGCGCGTTGTCTGCTTATGGCTGCACCGTGAACCGAAGGCCGCAAGGTAGAAAAGGTCCGAAGTGCTATCTGTCCCAGAGCCTAACTGCGATTCGAGCATGCCATGCCACCCGCAACTGTGAACCCCCAAGGCAGCCAAGGAAGCAAACAAACAGACACCCACTCCCGGAAAACTGCAAGCACGGCGCCTTCGTTTCTTGATTTTCGTACTGATGTAACCCATTTTGATTTCGAGTTCACGATTCTGGTTCAGTGTTTGGCTTGCTCTGTCAATCCAGCTAAGTGCCTGCTTCCATCCGACAGCGAAGTGCCTTTTACGGAAAGACACTTTCATCCCCAAAGTAGACTGACTCAAGTGCTTGGAAGGACTCGTCTGGACTGGCTGGTGGGCCTTCATCTCTAGGGATCAGAACACCGAGACAAAGGAGCAGGAAGGCAGGTGCTTCGTTTGGGGCTCAAGTTCTGGGGTAGGCTCCGTGGTAGTACTTAGCATGCAAGTACATGCTTTTAGACAATTGGGATCCTGTTCAGCCTTGGTAGAGGTGCTGAATCAAGCTGGCAATGCTGTAGCGAGCATGGCAATGCCGCTGTCATGTAAGAGCCTGTCCATGCTGCCACCATAAATACTACAGCAGCACTACTCATGCTGCTGCTGCGGTGCAGCCATGAGACTTCCATTTTGTTGTTCGATACATCGACAGAGCTGTGGATAGCGACAATCGCATTAGATCTCCTCGTAGTCGCGGTTGCAGTACTGTAGTAGGCATGTTCCTCATTTGCCGATTGGCCGCCATCACCGTGATATGGAGATCAAAATGTTAGAAGCTGATGTGAATGCTGCTTCCTTTATGTTACATGTTTATGGGGATGCTGATGGAGATGATGATGATGATGACGAGAATGCTGATGGTGGTGTGATGATGCTCACCTGCTGCTGATGCTAGCGACGACGATGATGGTGATGCTCACGGTGACGATGACGGCGATGATGGTGCTGCTCGACTGGCAGACTTCGCACCTTTGCTCCTCCGGTGCAGGTAACAAGCTGAGCAACACTTGGAATCTGGAACGTCGCAACCGAAAATACGGACGGAACTGTCCAATGTGGGTGGACTTGCTGGCAATACCTCGGCAACAGTCTTGCATGCGACAAGATTTTTTTTCTAATCATAGACTCTCTTAGACAGCTTGTAATCAATATCGTCTGCGCTTAAGTCTGAAACGGCGTAAAATATCGTTTTCTAAACCGTTTTCTGGAATCATTCAACCTGATTTCCTGAGCCCCCAAACCTTTCAGCCCGCAACCACGACAAAAGGAGCTTAGCTTTGAAGTCTTGTCCTGCAGACATTAAGCAGATCGGTTTCCTAAGCCCTGGCACAAAAATTTCAGGCGCCGTGCCCTGGCAAGAGATCCTGCAAAGCAAAGGCGTGCCACATGGCGCAAAGGAGAGGATTGGTACTTCTCAGTATTTTTTCAGACTATTGCGGTGACTGTGCAGGGATTTACCTTAGAGTCCAGGGTCCTTCCTGCTCTTATGCGTCGTGGGGGAAGGGGGGGTTTGGGGCTTCGGGTGCAGCTGTTGCAATCATGATTGTCTTTCCAAAGTGCTAAACCCTCGACATCCTCGACCCGTGAGCCTGCAGCCTGCAGCACTGCAGACAAGCGCTGAAACTCTCCTTAGACCCCGAACTCGCGGCGAACTGAAGCCGTGTCATTCGCCCAAGGTGGTCTGTGGTAGCATGCCACTCCATGAGCAGCTTGTCTTGCACTTCTGTCGTTTTCAGTTCGGCTCGGCTCGATGTGGCATGAACTTGGAATGTTCGAAGCCCACAAAAGTCCTGCCAACAGCCCCAACTCGGCTTGTTCTTCAGCCGTGACCTTATGCGGAGCATCCCAGATATCTCTACAGGTCCAGATCCCAAACCCAGACATTTGACTGTGAATCGTCGAACCGTAGCTCGCATTATGGAGCCCTCTTATCGGTATTGAGGTTCATTTTTCAATTCTGTTGGGGCTGAAAGTATGTAGACCGTGAACTCGCAACAAGTCAACTTGATCAGGGATCTTTTTTCGTCTGACAGTTTTCAGGGTTTTGCATTTTTGAGCTTCGTCAGTATTAGGCACAGGTGAAACGTAGCCCGACGACCGAGGCCTGTCGCAAGAACTTCGGCAGTCTGGGTTAGGTCCTCACCACCGCGAAGCAGTGATAAGGTTGGTATGCACAACAAGAAGTCAAAAGAGCCCGACTTGAAGGCAACGCCCCGTTGTTAGCAATGTGTCTGGTACTACGAGTCTCCCATGTGCTGCCAGGGTCGGATTGTGAGGTGCGCCGCCAAACATGCGCCCCGAATCCTTCCCGACACGTAGGCCCAATCGCTAGGTCGGCCCTGACATAGAGCTAATTAGTGCAACCCTGTCATACAGAGATCTTGCGGGTTCTTCGTTCGCAGACAGCTTCATGCTTCAAGTGGACCTCAGGCAACGTGGCCTTCTACTCTCTGCTGACATGGATGCCGACGTTCTTTAGCAAAGGACGCTGCTCCACAAGTTGCAACGCTCTGCTTGCTTCTTCGGTACCTAGGACTTTCCACGACTTGCTTAAGCCGCTGTTGCAGTTTCGCAAAAGCAACAAGTGATTTCACGTGGCTATACTCTATATATCGGCTAAGAACACAGCAGGCGACCACTGCTCTCAGAGGAGGTTGCCACAGCAACAGCAGCGACAACGCTAACACCACAGAGAAACGCAGCAGCAACAACAACAACAACAACAACGACAATGCTAACACCACGGAGAAAACTAGCAACGACAACACTCCCTCGTCAGCGTAGTCCCGCACCTTGGCGGGCCTTTGGAGAGGGTGAAACATTGGCAGGCTTGCTGAGGCGTAGAAGCAGGTCGCGACGAGGCATCGGCCCCCGCATGCCGCCCCGAGGGATCAGCGACCGCTCTGTGGAGTCAGCACTGCACGTAGCCTAAGTAACAGGAAGCTACTTCACTGAACCGTTGTAGACCATGACCTGTGAATTAGACAGCCTGTTCCGAAGTCAAGTCGGATTCGGGCTGCCAGACCAGTTGAAGTGCGACAGACCTCGATGCTGATTGGCACGCTGCTCACTTTCAAATCGGAACCATCGGACAAAGAAAACTGTCTTCAAGACACAAACAGTGCGTGGTGCTCCTGCAGGTACGGGTGACGGTGTAGAACTATGCGTCGTCCTGTGCGAGAATAGTTTTTCAAGTCAGGTAGAGCAACTTTTTCCGGTAAATACAGTTCTCCCCCAGGGTCTGGGCGGACTTCATCCAGATACCATTGCGTTGCAGTCGAAGCGGGATGGGACTGAAACGAGTTCCTTTGGACTCCACCCCACGATAGTTCCGATGGCCAAAGGGCAGGTGCGGGTGCACCTAGAAATGAAACCAGTGTATATGAACAAACTTACAGCCACGTTCTTTGACTTGCGATATGCGCATCGCAGACGTAAAAGACCTGGAGTCACGTTGCAGATCGGCCATGAGTTTGTAGGGGTTGGAATGGACATGAGGCGCGACAACGACAACAACGACAACAACAATAACAAGAAGAAGAAGAAGAAGAAGCAACCGCATCTAACGACAAGCAACAGCGAATCAACAACAAGAACAATAAAGGGAACAACAACAAAAGCAACCACGACAATCACGGCAACAACCGCAACCACACAACAAACACACAACAAACAGTCAACCAACAAACAACAATCAAACGACAAACAAACAACAAACGACAGACAACAAACAACAGGAATATAAAACAATCAACAAACAAAAACAGACAACACAATCACAACCACTTCGACGGCAGAACCATATCGAGAAGCAGTCGCTAGTAGTTGTGGCTCCGGTCGTTTGTCGACGCGCTAGCCAGAGTGGCAGTGGTCTTGTTGGTGGTAGTAGCAGCAGTAGCAGTAGCAGCAATGGCAGTGGTAGCAGCGGCCGTAGCCGTAGCAGTAGCTGTGTAGCATTAGCAGCACCAGTAGTAGAAGGAGGACTAGCGACGACATCAAAATTGCCGTTGCTGCTATCATCGCGAATACTACGATGTTTACCAGTGAGCCAAGAAATAGAAGTCCAAAGATGAGAGTAAACTTGTACTGTATCATCAGACTCATACTAGCCCTGAGTGGCACGCTCCAGGAGCCGGCCTTAGCATGGAGGCAGCTGGCGTTTGCGCCTTCCTTCCGTATCTCTTTGGTGTCTGGGCTGAAGGGCCTAACCAGAGTTTTAGTTCTAGCATGTACGAGCGGTTCATGACGTAAAGGCCGGAGAATTCGCAGGCTTTATGAGTTTACTGTCTGCTTGGCTTGTGCGGCATGCCACAAGCGGCCTGCTGGCAAGTTTTATGCTTACATGTATGCTTGTGTTTGCTTCCGCTTATTCAGTTGTTTATGCAACTCTATACGTGTATGCGCAGGTACATGGTTCATGCACCATGCCTGCTGGTGTTGGTTGGCACATGTATTTTTGCATTTGGAATGTCTACATCTACTGACATTCAAAGACAGGACGAGGGCTTGGCTGAGGTGCCCTGGCAAGCCCATTGGTTGGGCAGCTGGCGGACAAGTTGCTCAAAGACGGCTCCTTGGCGCAGTCCCTGTCAGCGCCAAAAAAACGACTTTGTAAACCCAAGCCGAAGCACTGCAATGACCATGGATGGGGCCCCACCCAAAGCTGTAAACCCCCAGCTGAATTCCAAAGCCACCTAAGCTCGGGCATGCATGGGCGATGTCCTGAACTGGGAGCATGTACTGGTGTCGTAAATCAAAAGGACTGTTCTATAGCAGGTGAGCATAGTCTGGGCGCTGAACGCCCTTCACCCGTCGACTCTGCCGGTCCACATGTGAAGAGCCCTTGACCCCGAACATTGCAACTCTAAATTCTGGAAACGTCCAAAGCCGCGGCCCCCAGGCCCCGCTCAAGCTCCTCCACGCATTGGTAGCCAATTTGGTGTAGCAGGACGGTGAAGGGGAGCATAACAGTCATTGTAAATCTACAACCCCAGCAATTGCCTCAACGGTCCTGGAGCATTGATTGCCAAATCCATAAGCTCCCAGCTGTGTGTGATCCTTGTGCGTGTTTGGTTCAGGGCCTGGCGGTTTCAGGTTATGTCCAGATCTGGTGCGTTTTGGGTGCTGGGCTTCCGGGCCATAGACTGAGGGCTTGGATCTTTAAAGATCCTGCTTGCATCTTCGCGAAGCTCTTAAGCGCCCTTAGTAGCTTTAGGGCCTGTTTGGCCCCCAAACCCCACATATAGCAACTTGCTTTTCAGAGGCTGGGACGTCAGCTCCCTGCGGCGGTTCTTCCAAGGCCTGTCAATGGCAGGTCTTGGTGTTCGCTTGGTTTGCGGGCTTCGCATTTCTAAAGATTCAAACTTGGTTGTTCCGGGGTTGAAGATTGAGAGTGGGCTGCGCGATCGTAGTTGTGGCTAGCGGCTGGGGAGTGGATCCACGGTCCAATTTGTCGGGCGTTTTTCGGCTTGGAAGTTCGCCTTGTGGTCTGTGGCTTGGAAGCGTTCCTGGATCCGAGATTTGTTCAGCATACAAATAACTTCTGATGCGCTTCCCGGGTTCTGAAAGTGCACAATTTCGACCTACGATGCCCCCAACAACCACCAAACAGCAAGTTTAGCGCCGCTCGAGATACAGCACCACCACTTTCAAAGACTGCAGCCCCAACCCGCAAATCCCCACCCGGAGAGCCAAAGCCCCAAACCTCAGCACCCTCAAACCCCCAGCCTGCACCTGAAACCTTGCCCATTTGCAGCCCGAATCCTCCAGCCACAAAAACCCTCAGCCTGGTTGGAGGAGAATTTCCCAATCCCAACCGCAAACCTAAAAAGCCTGACGGTGCCACACTGCGTCATGCTGGCATGTGGATTTATGTTCACCTAGCTGAGATTTCGCAGCTTCTGTTCAGAAAGTCCCGTGTCGGGGACCGTAAATACAAGGCTACATGCAAGTTTAAAATCCAACTCCCAAAACAGCGATGCAAAATGCGTAACCCCTCGACTCGATCCCAAACTCCGATCCCCAGATCCCCAGGCACCGCTTTCTTCGGCGGCGCTGTCTGCATGCTCCTGAATGCGTTTCTGGGCCCTTCCCTAGGCCGGTCACTCTCCGGTGTCCAGGCTTCAGTTTTCGGGGTCTCAGCTTGGAGAGTGCTAGAAGGTTCCAGCGATTGGGGTTTGCAGAGGTGGATCAATGAGAAGATGGTTCAATGCATGTAAATGCATTATTACTGAGACTCATCATGATGTTGATGATGATGCTGGTGACGGGTGACAGCGACGGTGGCGATGGCGATGGTAATGGTGGTGATGGTGATGCTGATGATTACGATGATGGTGATGATGGTGATGGTGATGATGAAAATGATATTGATGCTGATGCTAATACCGGCGATGGTGGTGATGATGATGATGATGGTGTTGGTGACGGCAAGGGTGATGCTGAGGAGGAGGAGGAGGAGGAGGAGGAGGAGGACAGGGATGTATTTCCTGTGGGATAGTGCCCTGTCTACTTTTTGTCATCGTTCTCCACAACCACAACCCAAAGCCTTCAACCCTGAAGTTTCCATTTTGAATCCCAGGGCCTGAAGGACTGGCGAACCCCACTTTGCCATAAAGCAAACTCCTGATGTCCTCAATACAAAGCGCATGACTCTGATTGCTGGCAAGATGCCATTTCATTGCTGATTCCAGTATCAGGTGACCTTACGGTCTCAATTAGTGAAGCAGCTATCAATCTGACACGGAGTCTTGTGCGCTGGATCTTTCGAAACGGTCGTCAAACCTCTGTAGAGCCAATATCTGCCGCGGCAACTGCGGCAACTACATCAGCAAAGCATGCATAATGCACTAGTCAAAAATGATCAAAACCAAGGTGGCAAGCAGACTAACGAAAGTAAAAAGAAGACTCCGGTCTGTGGCAGCTCCCATGCAGCATTTTCGGACTTGGAGGTGTCGGGGTCTCGTTTTGGCTAGGTCGTACGATCTGGTACTTCTCTAAACCTACGAAGAGGAGGAACAGTACCCCTCATCTCTGAAGCTGAAAAAGCCTGGCCCATAATCGCAAACGATACAAAGATGTAAACGTCAGCTAAACCCGAAAGCCACATCTTTTCAACTCATCGTCAGGCACGGTTGGTCAGGCAGGATCTGCTGCCGCTGTCGTGCTGAGCTTGCAGATGCATGCCCCATCTGTTTTGCAATCCTTTTTCTCGGCACCTTTTCTGGATCTCCCCAAACCTGAACTCTCAAATTGAAGCCTTCCGTATCGCAACGATCCCTCGTCGCGTCTTGTCTTTGTAGCAACAACTCGTCCGGTTACCGGGCTTCCGTCAGGCAAATGTGGTGCTTTACCTGGGCTTGATGAGATATTCATTGCATGTAACTTCGCTTCGAGTCCACACAGAAACCTCACAGCATCAGTTTGGGCCTTCTGGCGAATCCTTGGGTTTCGCAGACGGGGTCAGAGCTTTGTGGCTTTGCCCATTAAATACACAACCCGGACATCACTAGTCAGCGTCCTCCGTACACCCGGAGCCCTAAAACCCTTATTCCTAAAGTCCTAAAGCCTACCCCGAACCCGTCATGCTGGCTGATGTGGGTGACTTCGTCATTGTCACGACCATATCGTCTTACAGCTGGGGCATGTCCTCTCAAGCAGGTGGCTTTGCTGGTGGCCGCAACCACGCTGAAGCTTGCTGCAGAGATATTTGGACAATTCTTCTGAAATCGATCGTCTGGATTAGGTGCACAGGGTGGACAAGCAACTCTCCTGATCATGCCCCACACCCCTCAGCCAGTTTCTGACCTTCCTCGGAGATTTATTCAGGGTTCAATGACCCACTGCGACTAGTCCCACTCGGCATCATGACAGGGTAATCTCCTACATGGATTCGTTGAATTTGTTGGGGCAGAAGCGGTACCCTTCTACCATACCCCGTGTACGGAGCCTAAAAATATCTAAAAGTTAGGCGGCATCCTTACCCCGGAGGCCCTCACTAGGGCAAACAATCGGGTCAATCATTTCAGCGGATCTTGGTTGAGGTGTCGAGAACTTCGACTACGAGCAAGATCAAGCTTATGCCCAAACCCTGTCAACCTTTGTACTTCTAGTTTGAGGTGTTTTTGTGCTTAGGAAGCGTAGTTGTTGAACAAGGTTTCGAGTGCTGTCATCGCCTCGGAATCCTGGAACCTCACACCCTGCGAACCTCTTCATTCTTCAGGGCATCGAAGTTTTAGGATTTACGCTTTTTGGGACTTTGGTAGGATTCTCTGAGTTCGGTTTTTGCAGTCAAACGGATTTCCCCGCGAAACCAGGAAGTCTGCGGACAGAGCCGGGCTCTTCTGCACCCACGCCGACCTCAGCCCGCGCTATGCCGGTGTATCCTTGGCTACAAACGAGGATTGATGTTGATCACACGTGCAATGTTTTACGCTTGCGTTTTGATAGTCTTTTGACAATGGTACATCATCCTTTCGCAGTCTGTGCAAAACTACCACCATCAAGGATGCTCTAGGTATCGAGGCAACTGATAGCCTTGCCATGCTGGGACTTGGCATTCTGGGACTTTGCATTCTGCAGTCTCCAGTTTTCCTGGTTGGGCTTGTCTAGGTTTTAAAAGGCTTGAAGGGCTTCGTACTGGTAGAGTTCATTTGGGAGCTTGCCAGTGACAGCACAGCCGAAACCTACTGTAAGGGCCCATCAATGCCCTCCACAAACCCGGTAGTTTATGTTCCAAGGCTGTCCTGCAAAGGAGGGGTTAGGGTTTTTCAGATGTAGTTTGGGCGGGATGCAGACCGGTGCAGCTTCTTTCATACCCTCGCGAATCAGGAACGTGCTCTCTATGTGATAGGACATGATAGGGCAGTAAATACTACTTCCGCAGTGTATCCTAAAATACGTCATTGCGTGGGCTTTGAGTGAGGGGGGCGGGGGTAATATAAACATATATATATACACACATATATGTACATATGCCTATCTATCTGTCTACCTACCTATCTATCTACCTATCTATCTATCTATCTATCTATCTATCATGTATCTGTAAATCTATCAATCGACCTATCGATCTATCGATCTATCTATCTACCTACCTGTGTGTGTGTGTGTGCACCTACATGTGTACAATGTAAATGGCATTGAGGCTAAGAAGATAGACGGATGCTGTATGCTGAGTCGCCGCCCCGGCGTACCGGCACTTCGGCATGCCTGTACATGTAGGTGTACATTTTTATATAAACGCAGTTGAAAAGAAGAAGCACATGGAGCAAAACGTGCAGTGCACGATGGCACACCGGTGAGATCTGCCGAACTTTCCCTCAGGCATTGTTGGCACTGTCCTCCACCGCAGGACGTTTTGTGCAGACTTAGTGTTTGGTGCGGAACTGTTGGGTGTTTGGATGTAGGATATTAAGGAGTGGTGGCTTAATCATGCCTAAGTAAACCAACCGTGTGGTCAGGGATCCTAACTGGTGTATTCCAGCTGAACTCGCAAGTCTTCAGGGCCTTGTGCTCCGAGTCGTGAGGTCTGCCCACCCAAGACATACTTGCTTTGCAAGCCTGCGGGCTTCATGTTCTGAATGAAGACTCTGGAGAGCACGAACCACGCAGAAATGCTGTCACATTTTGTCTGCCATGCGCATCAGTCCCCAGCGTCACACCGGCTATCACGATTTCATTTTGGATCACAGCATGTTCCCCGGTTATGACGATCATGGTAGCAGACAATCCTAATCGTACTTGCAGCAACTGGCATACCTGCCGAGTCTCACGTTGCATGATGATGTTAATTCCTACTCAAGGCAATTCAAGCGTGAGTCCCAGAGCCCAATCCACGCTCCCAATGTAGATAAGCCTGAACTTCAAGCACTCGTAGAAGGAGCCATCGCGCCGATCCCGGTGACATGGCAACAAGGGCTTTCTCCGGCTTCGTGCTAGAAAGTTGGCGCCACATCCCGTCGGGCCACGCGAGACTCTATGCACTGACCGTGGCCCCTTTGTGTCATGCTCAAGACGTGAAGATTAGGTGTGGAAGATCTGCATCTGACAGGCTGACAGCCCCAACGCTCCAAACCCTGTAATAAGGAGGCATGGAGCGAACAGCCGTCCAGCAGTCCTGAGTGTTGAATCATGTTGAACCCCATGCTTTTCAACCCCAATTATTTCGTTACAGACGCCCGGACCACTGTAGCAAGGATATTCGGTTACTTCGGAGGCGTTGCTGTACACGTTGATCGGTAACTTTTGTTTGATACTGTAAGAATCTAGGTATCTTTGGTTCTCCGGTACAGACTTGGGTCCTGGTTCTTGGACGTCATTGGTTTCTTTTGGCTGTAGCTACTCTGGAGCCAGTGTTTTGCAAAATCACAAGTTACGTCTCATTCAGACTCAAATCTGCAGACTGCTGCCATCCGTTCACGCATTCGCTGGTTTAACCAGTTCTCATTCATTGCTTTTCGGCTACGTGGGTGTCTCGCTTCGCTCTTGTTGCGCGCAGACATGAATCAAGACGATGACCGGCCATATGTTCATGGAAAACGGCCTGGTCCTGTAGCGGTGCTTGGGTGTTCTGGCTCGTGTGGTCTAAGGCTGCAGGCTGTGCGGCATGCCGAGGGTCCTTAGGGTCTACGTTTTCAGGTTGAGAGTTCTGGGTTTGGTTTTGTTATGTCACCAGGTTCACATAATGAGATTCCTGCTGGTGCTCAGCGGCACGCACCCTTAGCCAACCTTTGAATTCAGTCCCCGCGCCTCTACTCAGTCAGTTCTCAACACCGAGCTGTGAACCGAAACTCCTAATGATGGCAACAGGTTGGCAATCGTAGCACGGAGCAAAAGAAACAGTTGTGTTTCGTTACATGTAATCAGTAACGGTACTTGTAGCAATAACAATCACATGTATGGCTCAGGTAATTGAGTTCATCGGCAAGCTGATTGACGAAACAGGCTCCTTTGGCTGGGGTCTCTTCGCACCTTGGAAGGAACTTCAGGCGCAAACCGCAAAGCCTGAAACCTAAACCAAGACAGAGTCGGACTGCCTCAGTTGATTATGTCATAGACTTGAATGCAATGGAACCTGATGGTTAGGGCTTACGAAACCTTGAGTGCATATGAATTTCCGTACATACATGCATGCACACACGCAGGCATTACATTGCACATATCACATACATTCCGTATATTGCATTCATACACTCCGTACATTCCACGCATTACAGTTAATACATAGCATACACACATACACATCTACATGCGTACGGACAGACATACACACCTACATACACACATGCATGCATGCATGCATGCATGCATACATACATACATACGTACCTACGTAGATTTATGTACATATATACATACCTACCTACAGGTACCTGTATACATACATACATACATACATACATGCATACATGCATACATACATACATACATACGGACATACATACATACATATGTACACATATACACAAACATACATGCATGCATGCATCCATCCATGCGTGCGTATGATTCTTCTGCACATGTGACAAGCAGCTTTCCGCCTGGCAAGGTACCGGTCGCCATTGCGCAGATCATCGGCGGTCTCGTGTATGCCTGCACCTTACTCTCCAGCAAAATCGTTTGTTGTTGCTGCAGTCACTGTCGTTGCCGTCGTGGCTGCTGCTTGCTGCTGCTGCTGCTGCTGCCGCGGCGGTGGTGATTTAACAGCATTGGGGGGCGTCGATGGCATCCGGGTACCAACAGCTGTACGGTATTTCAGCAGTCCACGCCGTCAACCGAACGGGGATACATCAGAACCAATAGTGAACTCAAACTTATGTAGTTCGCCATGCGAAGTGTGCACGTGATCTGACGGCGAGGACGGTGCTGATGGTACAGCTCTTTTCGATGGTGACTCGTGGAGAAGATGGGTTGTGGTGCTGATGGTGGCGGTGATGTTGGTGGTGATGGCCGTGGCAAAAGAGAGTCAGTGGTCATTACCCCGCCGGCTTCTCAGATCCGCTTGATTCTCATAGAGCACAAAAAGCTGGGGGTGGTGGTGTGTTTGACAGCCAGTTCTGGTGATCACAGTCCAAGTTTGCTGGGGTACATAAGTATTCTTGGCGGAGGTCACGACGGCCGATTGCGAGCGCCAAGACTTCGATAAATTGTGAGCGAAAAGACCAGCGTGGCCTGAGAACTGGCGCAGACAAGTTGCAGCGATAGCTTTTGTAGCAAGTGCTCAGGCCATGCTCTGTTTCAGTCTGTAAAGTCCGTACGTAGTTATCGTCAATTTTCACCTGCGCCTCTCGTCCAGGCGTCTGGGACTTTTAAAGAGCAGCTGCTTAGCTTCTTCCGCTAGCAATCTGGGATCTTGTTCACACCCGCATGTAAGATTCCGGTTCCTCCTGAGGTGGAGTAATCACTCTTGCTACCACTAGTAATTAACAGTAGTAGTAGTAGTAGTAGTAGTAGTAGTAGTAGTAGTAGTAGTAGTAGTAGTAGTAGTAGTAGTAGTAGTAGCAGCCAGCCGCGCCTCCTGGCGCCTGGCGTTAACCTCTGCTTTTCTGCGTTTTTGGGCGTTTTGCTAGGGTGCGGGGGGGCGTTGGGGTGGTGGGGGGGCCAATAACGACATGGTTGACCGCAAGCAGTAACGCAGTAGCGCCGGTAGCAGTAGCAGTAGTAGGATGCTTGTGACAACGTGTCTTGCTCCACATCCTTGTGCAGCATGTTGTACAAAGAGCACAAAAAGCTGTAAATACCAGTGTTTTGTGCATGATCGCCAAAGGCAGTGACATGAACATTAACCTGACCATCTTCATCATCATCTTCATAATCATCATCCTCGCCATCTTCAACATCATCGTCAACGCCATCTTCAACATCATCGTTAACCTGTTCATCTTCATCTTCATCCTCATAATCCTCATCATCATCAACACAAGCCCCCGCAATTAGTTCGTTTGAAGTTGGCTTAACTACAATGTCTAAAAACTATTAAAATCCCAGCATTTTACACACTCGACCGCTCAAAACTACCAGGCGCCAGGAGGCGCGGTACCCTAGGGTGGCAGCAGTAGTAGTGGTGGTAGTAGTAAAAGTCCTCATGGTTAACCGGGCAAGAATGGGGAATCGCTCTGCTGGGGTTTAACATCCAGATCGATGGGGTTCTTCTGGAGCCATAAGCAGGTTTTAGAAGCAACCACGAAATTCATCAGGCCGGGGTGCGGCCACCGTGTTACTGATTCACACCGTGGTGTACTGTCTCTAGAACCTTTAGAAGCAGCGGAAGAAAAGCGTATCAGGGTACGTATTCATTTGTGCTTTTCTGCCGGGAGTGCCCTGAAATCTGAGCCGGGGCACTCTTGTGCACAGACAAAGCTTGCACGACTTTTCATGTGGCCCCTTGATCGTAATCAGTGCTCGGA